TTAAGTGAAGCTAAGTAATGAAGCAAAAAAATGCAAGTTTAAGGGAAATGGACACTTACCCTTGAAGAGCCGACCTCTAGCAGCTTTTGGACCAAGTTGATGAGCTTCCAACCTCTGCAAATGGCTTCCAAGGTGCTGGAATGGATGATGGAGGTGTGGTGCTAAGGGTTATAGTGTAAATGGACCAAGGAAGTTAGGGTTTTGGAGCTTGGAATAGTAGCAATGGAGGTGGGAGGTGATGAGCCTTAAGCAAAAGTGTCTAATCTCTACAAATGAAGAGGAGGGCCTCTCTTATAGGGAAGAGAGGCCAAAACTTCTCTTGGAAGCTTCAAAGATCCTCCATACACGTGTATGGAGGATGCACCAAATGGTCCCCAGCTGGCACAACTAGATTACACTCAAAAGGGACAAAAGCAATAAGCAGGCCGGCCAGTTCAAGTGGCCGGCCGGCTACTCCCCCTGGTTTGCCGACCAAGGGTCAAAAGGTTCAAGAACAATTGTTGGTCGGCCTACCCAGAAAGGTGGCCTCCCAGATGAGTAGAACACAACCCTGTGGAGAAAAACCAGAAAATGTGACCTAGGAGAGAGAAAAGCTGGCTTTTTAGAGGGGTTCAAAAGGGTCAAGAGGAATTAATGGTCGGCCTACCCATATTGGTGGTCTCCCAGATGAGCACAACACAATGATGGTAAGAAAAGCCAGAAACTGTGGCTCAATAGTGGGAAAAACCAGTTTTCTGTCAGAAAAACCAGCTTTTGGAAGGAGAAAATGAGAAAACTGGCTTTTCAGGGGAATAGGTGGCCGGCCACCGTCCTACCACCTCCCTAACAGTGCAAATAGGGTCTCTGTCAAAAACAGACCAAAACGGATGCAAAACGAAGGTTCAGGGGCCAAAACGCGCGGTTCGGGGCCCCAAAAACAGGCTGTTAGGCACCGGAAGTGGCGTATGACCACGAAGGTGGTCTCCCATTCCACAGTGTCCCTCTAAAGGGAGGAAATAAGGTGTGTGGCAAAAACCAGAGCAAACGGAGGTAGTTAAGCGGTCCCGAATCGAGTCACACGGTCGACGGTTCCGAAAACCAGAAACTGAGCTCCAAACGAGCGAAATGGCCTACGACCACAAAACGTAGCCTACGGCCACTGAGAGATGATCTACGGGACCTCTCCCTCCCTTCGCGAAGAGAAAACAGAGAAAATCGAGCCTGGTTCGTAAACCGAGGCAAAGCACAAAAGAGTCCGGAAGCTCGGAGGCAAGGCTCACGGCCAAGACTATGAAATTTCTAAACGAGCACAATATGCAGTATCACCGAGCGCTCAGCTGGTGACGTCTGAGTCTCAAGGTCGGTCAAAAATGGGGTGTCTACAGTGTGGCATGCGTGTCACACTTAGCATCGTCTTACATTTCGTGTGGCATGCGTTTCACACTTGGCATCATTTTACATTCCGTGTGGCATACGTGTCACACTGGGCATTATTTTGCATCTTATGAGGCATGCGTGTCTCAGTTGTTTCATTTTGCATCTTATGAGGCATGCGTGTCTCATTTGTTTCATTTTGCATCTTATGAGGCATGCGTATCTCATTTGTTTTATTTTGCACCCTATGGGGCATGCGTGTCTCATTTGTCTCATTTGTCTCATCTGCCCCACTTGTATCGACATGCGTGCCTCATTTTCATTGGCATGCGTGTCTCATTTCCATTGGCAGGTGTGCCCCATCTTCTTCATCGACATGCGTGTCACATTTTCGTTGGCACGTGTGTCGTCATTTGCATTAGCATGCGCACCTTGTTTGCATAGAATATGCATTCACTCGCACTGTTTTGTGCATTTCAAACCAATCGCACTGTTTTGTGCATTTCAAATCACTCACACTGTTTTGTGCATCGCATTTCAATCGCACTGTTTTGTGCAGTTTATCAATCGCGCTATTTTGCGCATCGCACTGTTTTGTGCATTTCAAAACCAATCGCGCTATTTTGCGCATCGCACTGTTTTGTGCATTTCAAAAATCCATCGCACTGTTTTGTGCATTGCATATCGATCGCGCTGTTTTGCGCATCGCACTGTTTTGTGCAGTTTATCATTCGCGCTATTTTGCACATCGCACTGTTTTGTGCAGTTTATCATTCGCGCTATTTTGCGCATCGCACTGTTTTGTGCATCGTATTTCAATCGCACTGTCTTGTGCACTCGCGTTGTTTAACGCATCACGCGGTTTTGCCCATCTTATTGCATTGTGCATTGCATTTCAATCGCGCTATTTTGCGCATCACACCGTCCTGTAATATGGACGGTCTGGTGAGACCTTAAACACGCATGGTCTGGCGAGACCTTAAACACATACGGTCTAAGCGACCCTAAATCCTTGGAAGGTGCAAGTCCTTCGGTAGTTCACGTGCATCTCAAAAGCCGCGTGTTGTCGCGCATTCCATGCAACATGCATTTCATGCATCATTTGCATTTAAAAAAAAACAAACAAAAACATGCATTGTCATGTATACATCTTGCATCTCGGTCTAGGAGACCTTAAATCCTCTAAAGGTGCAATTCCTTTGGTGTTTGTCGTGCCCGAACGACTTTTGGTGGTCTGGTAAAGCCACCTGCCTATGTTTGCGGTGAGTTCCTAGAAGACCAATTGGGACGGTGGAAACTAGAGTTCAAACGGCTTATGCCTAGAACGCAAAGGTTCGGGAGTTCCGAGACTAAAGTCTAGTTTAAATACCCAGAGGTGTCTCCTCGGCTTGAAACCTGTATGGAAGCCCCATAGATTGAGGCAGCATGTCTGCGCCTCAGTTCTGGATACTAAACCAACCTAGCATATCACCCTGTTGGTAAGATAGGGAAAGCTGCAATCATAGCCGTTGCATCATAGTGCATTGTCATGCATTTCCATTGTAGCTGTCGTGCATCCATTGCATTTTCCCCCAGTAGATCGCATCATATTGCATTGTCATGCATTTTTGTAAATATCCATTCCATTGCATATTTGTGAATATTGCATTGTAGTTTGCATGCATTTATTGCATCACCTTCCACCTATGGCTTGCGCCTGTCCAGGTTAAGCTTGGTCTGGTATGTGCCCTTACTTTTCACGTTAAAACACAGTTCTGCATGTGTACGCGTCTATTCCACGCTGGTATGTTGGTTTGAGGGTTGCGGCACCTTTTCTGTGTTACACGTGGCTCGTATGCGTACATGCCTTTCCTAGGCAAGATTTGGTTTGGCCCGCGTGCCATATCCATTGCATTTTAGATCGCATGCATTCATTGCATCACCCCCATCTATGGCTTGCGCCTTTCCATGTTGAGCTTGGTCTGGTATGTGCCCATACTTCTCGTGTCGAAGCATAGTTTAGTAGACCGTTCTATGTTAAACATGGCCTGTATGCGTACATGCCTTTCCTAGGCAAGATTTGATTTGGCCCGCGTGCCATATCCATTGTCATCTTCCTAGCATATCCATATATATTACATTGTAGTGTAATTTTTGCATCCGGCATTAGGATCGTAGTCCTTTCTCCAGCGGGTCGTTTCCCCACTTGTGTCAGTTCCACCAAATACTCGTTCTTGTGTCTGTCTACGATGCTCATAGTTCAGTTGACCGTTCTATGGTAGACAGACTTGTTACCTCCATCAATCTATTTGACATAGGTGTGGTTTCGAACCACTCGTGATTGGATCGTGATTCAATTGCTTTGCATATAGTTTGCATTGTTTCAATTGCATTGCATCTTCATTTGCATTGTTTATACATTGTTTTGTATATATTGCATATCATTTTGCATCCATTCTTGCATTGTCATGCATGTTGCTAACAATATTGCACCTGTTAAGTTTGTTTTCTTTTTAGGCACGATATTGTATGTACGGTTCATTTGCAGCTGGTGCGACCGGACGAGCCGCACAGGTATTGTATCTCCCGAGTGAGACGTATTGAGAATTTCATAATTCTCTTACATCCTTTCTGCATTGTAGTGTAGTTAGATAAACAGGAAAGCCGTGAGTCATAACAAACTGAGCTGCTTAGGCCTCTTTTGCGTCCTTTGCTTTTAGTCACTTTTTAAAATTTGTAATAAAAGTTAAAAATTAATTTTTTTTGTATTTAAAAATATTTAAGAAGTTGGTTTTCAATGGCTGATAAAATTATAATTCAATCCCTTATAGTTCAAAATGTGCTACATAAATGAAGTTGTAAATATTTTAAATTGAATGAAGATATTTTGATCATTTTATTATGATTTGACATCATAAATAAATATTAATTAAAAAAATTAACAGTAATTTTTTACCAATTTCTTAAATTATTTGTCTAAAAAAATTAAAAACCTGAAAATAAAAAAAAAATCACTTTTTATCATCTTTCTAAAACACCTGTCTCAGCTTAATTACGCCTCCAGAGGAGAGAGAAAAAACTTTGTTAGAGAGAGAAATGAAGCCATCTAGTTAGAGAGAGAGACAAGGAAGAAGAAAGCCAAGAGCGCACTCAACGCCTCTCTACAGTAGTAGTGACGCCATCTCACGACACAATCAATCAATAGTGTACTCACTACGGTTCACAAGGGAGAAGAGCCTTCCCTATAAATTCCCACTCCATTCCTCTCCTTTCTTCCAATTCCTCATCCTCTATTAAACTCTACAAAACCATTCGTCTCTCTAAATTCCCACTCCATTTTTCCATGGAAAAAGAAATCCAGGAATCCGAGGTCATTTTCCCGGAAAATGTTGAAGGGTATCACCATGACGACATTAATAAGTGTGACTTTTCAGGTCATTTGAATTCCCGGGTTCCGAGAAACACAAAGCCCAAGCAGAGGAAGAAGAAAAATAATTCTGTTCCTGTGAATATTCCGGAAAAGGTTTCTGGGAATTCATGGTTTCAGCGCGTGGAATCGGATTTCTTCGATGACGACGAGGACGACGATGGAGGAGAGTTTGCGCCGCCACATGTGATATTGGGTCGGCGGATTTACGAGGGAAAAATGGCATTCTCGGTGTGCAGTGGAAATGGGAGGACTCTCAAGGGAAGGGATTTGAGCCAAGTTCGGAATTCAATTCTCAGGATGACCGGTTTCTTGGAAACTTGAAATGAAAATGTTTTCTTTCCATCGTTTTTGCTGTGACTGTTTATATCTGAATTCTTATATTGACTGGATCATTTGTAGCAGAAAAAATGAAAACTTGAAATTTATAGAAAGAGAAAAAAAACGAACATATTGTTCATTGAGAAATTTAACTCAGTTTTTTTTTGTTTTTTTGGGTCTGTTGGTTAACGATTATAGTTGTATTATTGTGGTGCATTA